TGTTTGTGGGTTTGCACGAGCGCAAAATTCAGAAAGTCATTGGTAAACAGAGAACGCTTTGATGCAAACAAGAGATGTGTCTAGCTTCGAGCAATTAAAGTTGACTAATGGGAACGCTAAAACGGTCATTTTTATTATTTCAATATGATTACCCATGATAGGTTTGAAAACATGTTCGCAAAGCAGGAAAAGGCTCTTCTCGTAGCTCGGGTGAACTGAATTCGTTTTTCTCTGTTCGCTGAGCTTGGTCACTTGTTTGTAAACGTTTCATCGTCAGCCGAGGTGATATCTTCGGCATATGTGAAGATGTCTTCAAAGCATGAATAGAAACGAAATTGACTCTGATTTGTGATGAATTATACATGTAAAATATAATGTAAACCTTTTATGAGAATTGGTCCCCAAGACTGAGAGTAACCTAGTGCACTAGTCGGTACCATTTCCTTGTCGTGTACTGTCTGGATTGTGAATTTACAGCTTAATGCTAAACTTGCGTATTCTTCTATTTACAGAATTCCTATACAGTAATTGCGGATAATCAAGAGCTGTTGGGAGCATAAACAAACAATTACGTCAAGCGGTTTTTGTGGCACTCGGACACACGAACTCTAGGTGTATTTAGATGAATAACGACTGTTCAACGCAGCCTAAGAGCAATGAACAGGTTAACTCCAGCTTGATTCCAACCATGTGAGATAAATGCTTATTTTTTAATTATTCATGATAGATATTTAGAGTAATATTGAGATAGGTTAACTATGTTTACAAGAAAAACAGATTTAAACACATTTACGCGAGCACAAGCATGTTGACATGATTGGTAGAGTAATAAATTTCTCAATTCTTTCCTTCCAGGTGGAAGACTGCTTTTCCCTGATTCAAGATACTATTGACAACATGCGTCGATGGATGGCACAATACCCGGTGGCGTTGCGTGGGATTCAGGTCTATCAGGAACGCATGCTGTTCGTGAACGCCATCCAGGATTCGAATCTGGAAAAGCTGATTAAAGTAATCAAACAAACGTGCAATATGGCCGGTTTCGTAACCAATGTGGAAGGTATATTCATTCCACACGTCACCTTACTAAAAGTAAGTTCGTAAAGTTCAGTGTTTTGTTTACGTATTTGGCAAAGAAACAAGTTAGTTCATATAGAAACGCAAACGCGCTGTTTCAAATGCAATGGATCATCATAAATCTACAAAGTTGTTTACTGAACGAAACTTTTCAGGTGGGAAGCGCTGTTTTAGAAATTTCATAAATCGCGGAATTTCATAAGAGCGAGAACAAGTATCATCACAGAACAGGGTGAATTCAACTGTTTCGTGTTATTTCTTCATCTGTGTATAAATAATTAGACTTTGTGGCCAGCCTCACCCTCCCATGGTAGGGCTGTTACCTTGATTCCGATCGATAAATATGTTCTCTCACCCTTCCCTCTGTTCAACCCGACTGTTACTGGTGTCATTTGACCTTCGCACTGATTTTGCCTAGTCGAATGTTTTTGATGTTTGAAAACAAGTTAGTGCATAAAGAGGAATAAACGGAATAAGTAAACTAGCGGTAAAGAAAGTGATGAGGTAAAAATTGGTTCATTTCCGCTTTCTTTTTCAATGCTGAGTTCATCCAATAAGTAAACATCTTCGCTAGTTAAAGAATCATGTTAGGCAAAGATGTCAACATACAGATATATATATATATATATATATAAGGTGGATATCAGGTCGGATTCAGCCCTGGACTGGTGTGATTATCAGGTACCATTATTCGGTGAGGATAAGTGCATTCATGATACTCTATAGATAAAGGACTATCATTGTAGATTCACTTTTAAGAATCATTCAATGCGATCACGTGTTATCCAAACAACAGGCCGATCACTGAAAGCAATAATCCGTAAGTATATCTGTTCACATTTATCTCACAATTATTTGTGCATAGTGGTGTGGTGTGGTGTTTATTGACGTGGACTGACCATTCTTCCGACTTCATCTTCACAATTCACTTGGAGTGAATGATTGACTAGATCAATTGAGGATTGCGCGTGAAGATGAATTCCGAAGAACGGTCAGTTCACATCAATAAATCCTTTCAGTTAATCATCGCTTATAAATTCTACTTGACTCCATCCGTGATTTTGTTTGGCCATACACTGAATACGGGAGAAAACCCGTCAAAGTTTTAGTCTGATGTGGTACAAAACAATGTTGAGGAAAAGAGCCAGGTTCTCGGGGTCCCTGTAGGAAAAGCTCCCGGCACAAAGGATCCTTATGAATACCACAACCCTTTCATGCCCATCAAGAATGGTTCAGCAGCGGCCTACAGTAAGAGAACGCATAAGTCCGGGAGTACGGGTACTAGTACGCGTGAATAGGTAGCAAAATCATTCATTTTCGTCACAGTTTTTGGGACTATTTTATAGCTACTTATGAATGAGTTGTACGAGCCAATAAGCGTTAACTGAGAAACCTGAAGTGAATGGCAGTACAGGGTGATTACTGACATTCATCATCTCTCACTATCGGTAGTTTCGGTATTTCTAGCTTTCTCACCAATTTGCATTCATATTCAATGCTCAGGCGCAAACACAATGAATCAACCGGCCATCACCGAGTTCCAAAACGACCATCGTGATGTTTTCCTGGTTTCAGCAAATTGAATCTGTCACTCCATAAATTTGAGTTCTTATCTTACTCTCAGGTCAAAACGAATTTTCCTCATCAAGATAGACACAAAAGTGTACACGTGAAATTCCCTTGACTGATTACATCAACTCATTTCGGATTCTTTAACACCGCTCTGATGAGTAAATAACAAAGCTGAAACTGGTGTGGCACGCGTAAGTTAGTATGACTTAAATCGAGACCATTAATTGAGTCTCGTGGTCGTCGATTCTTTCAACATTGAATGTTAGCTCTGGAAAGTTCTCTCTCTTCAGTTTCTTTGCGTAACGCGTCGTCAATCTGAATAATGGACGAAAAGCGATGGAACTCAAATGTCGAGGAATAATTCATTAGCTAAATGATGTTGTGTCTCTTGAAGCGGGATGACGAACAGCACAAATCATGATTTCCGATCCGGAGTGCTCATTATGAGTCAAATATTAAACTGCTTCCCAACACCACATTCAGAATTATTTAGCAATTAAAACAAGCTATTCATATTATGTGTAGTTTGAAGAAAAGTTTGATGTATAGTCGGTTTCATCGATAAACTTTCCCGTTGGTTATTGAGTGTTAATTGGTGAAATGAACTATCCTTCAGGTTGATACATTCCAAATCACTAACAAAACTTACGACGCTCATTCCAAAACAAATCATTACAAAATATAAGCAGAAACAAAATATGTAATTTATTTACAGATAAAGAAATCAGTGTGAATCAAAATGCAGCTTCCTCGAACTTCTTTCTTCTTTCTGTCTACCCAGCATCCATGAGATTGAGCAAATTAATAAAATTGATTACAGGTACCGAGTCAACCTCGTGTGGTGCGTGGATAACTGAGAATAAAAGTCAGGTTGAAGTCGAAAACAAGCGAGGTAGGAGACGACAAAGGGTTTGCATGCGTATCCACCTACGTAAACATGTCATCCTTGGAGCAGCTAGAAGAAATAGTTAGATATTTAGATAAGGAAAAGTCTGAAATGTACAGAGGCTTGAAAATATCCCTAGAAGAACATGTTTACTAGCTCTGGGGCATCAAAAATCAGTGTGACAGATACTGTGAGCTCAGGGTATAGCCTTGGGATAGATTTCTGAATTATCTGATGTGTTTTGAGGTACTTTTCTGACCAACCAGGAAATATCGTCCTGATCGACTTGGAGATAGTGTGAGAGTATGCATCTATAGATTAATTTGGTGATTAAATGTATCAGAGGACATGTGAGATAAAATCTTTTGACTTTGGCAACGTTTTCTTCTTGTAATCCCCGAGGAAACTTTAGAAGTTAATTTCTATATTGATTTTCAGTGAGAAATATAGTGAGGCACAAAAGGCTGTCTCATACAGGAAGTAATTCAAGATCATATCCACAAACTCTGCAACACTTGCCATGCACCAAAATTACTAATAGCTAATGTCTCCATAATTAAAATCATATCCATAAGGTAACGAGAGGGGTGGGGAGTAGATCAAGTCTGAGAAACCATTGATATCATCCATTTACCATCTAAATTTCTTAGTCCTGTGTATATGCTAAAAAGCTTTCATCAACCGAAACCGTTTTCCCTAAAAAATTGAATGCACAACAGTTTGTTAATTGAAATGCAGTAATAATGATGATAAAATTTTTATTAATATGAAACAGCATTTCCCCGAATACTTGTCACTAATAAGAGCTACTGGGTTTTGCATTACTGTAACGAGGTTAACACCACAGAAGATGTTGTTTTCATCATAATTATTCTGCTTGCAAAGTGTTTTAACACCGGTGTATTTTCATTTCCGTGTCCCCGTGATCATACAGTTCAATCCAAGGCAACACAAAAAATTACGCATTCCGCAGGAGATATTGGAACAATTCGCAGATGCCGATTTCGGTACAATAACGGTTAACGAACTTCATTTATGTTTTCGAAGCAGTGCTACCGATTCCGAAGGATTCTATCCATCCTATGGAATTATCCCCCTACGGAACGACAATCTCCAAATGCTCCGGTCACCAAGACACCTGCAGTAGACAACAGTCGGATCGAAACTTCTTGAAATTCTACGACTTAACCTACTGTGTAATAGTGACCATCTGGTGCACTATGTTCCCATCCCCGTCCAATTGGACGGCATCGTGTAAGCTGTACCAGTAGTGATCCTGGATTTTTGGTCTCAAAAATCTGCTGTATAGTAGTATTCACACTTTTTCTACATAATTTTCCAGCAGAATTATGTTAAACCTTTGGACCCTATTCGTCGACCACCCACATTATAGAATATTTGAAAGAGAGGTTCAAAAACACCGGCAGTGAAGAATGGAAGTTGTTTTTCTCTTGTTTGACTATTTGGTCACCCGATTCCGACATCATATCATCATCATCATTATTATCATCATCATTGTCATAAACGTCGTCGTCGTCACCATCATTGCGATCAACGTTTTTACAGTCAAGCACACTTGAGTGTATATATATATATGTATATATATATATATATGTATATATATATATACTTTCTGCGGTGTGCACAATTTCTACAGTACTGACACGTCGGAGAACAGGAAAGATTGAGCGTATTGATGTAGTCATTAAGAGTCAGTTGTACTCAGACAGACACAGCTTAAAAATATCTTCGTGGTTAAATAATATGAATCGAATTACTACTACCGTTGGCTCTTTAACCACACCGTATTCTTTCACTAACTGTATACGGGGATATTTGGAACTGGATATCCGCTGATCATTGGTAGACTTCCAGAAGTTGAGAGAAAATAAATGAAACAGAGTGAATGTAATTTATTGTCAAGCTTGTAGAAGAGGTCAGCTGTATTCCGGAGTACAGTCATGGATATGTGAACAACACTGGTTTGATAGGCACTCGTGAATCTGAGGTTAGATTATCTGAAATTTTCAAAGACTGAGGGGCAGGGTACATTCTCAGTGCTACATTCGATTAGATTGTTGTGATAAACAGTGTTTTATGGACGACGGTCTTTGTGAATTGCAGAGGACCACGGCAAAGTGATTGAACGGTGAATAGGCAACTTCATTCAGGTTGACTCGAACATGTGTGATTTCGGTTGGCATGTAGAAAAGGTACAAATCGCGCGCACATTCAAGGTTTTCGGTTTATAATAGTGTCCTTATCAGCAAAAGTGTTGCATGAACAGTAATGTGGTGGAACCACACCTAATAGCGTTCCGTTCTAACAGTAAAACAAGTGCTGCGTTAAAAACAGTTTTTCTCGGAAACGTTTTTAAACATGTACGGTATGAAGAAGATCCTATTGGCTTGAGAATCAGCTGTCTACCTTTATTCAAAAACCTCCAGCCATGACTTCCTTTCGGCGAAAATGGCATCCCCAAATATCTCAGTGCCATCATCAAATGTCTATCGGCTGATTTTTAGGCTGCACAACCTGCCTGACTCGCATACGTCCGTCAAGGTCGTCCTAGTTAAATATTGTTTCTTCACCAAACATCAGGTTATTTAATTCGGCTCTCCAGTTGACGGGGTTTTCTGACCCATTGAATCCTCTTTCTGTGATATGAAGGTAAGTAGGGTGGGAAATCAGGTCTATGGCAGTTTGACTGATTGAGTAAGAAACTTTTGTGCACATAATATTGGGTTACGTAACTTGATTAGCGTCGCCTCGCTAAACGCCAAAATACTGGGGTTCAAGTTACGTAATAATGGCTTGAACGACATTTGTGGGTCAACGATGTGTCCAGTTGCCATGAGATGTTTTGTTATTGATGACCCTGGATTTCTCTTATCGGTTTGACCTCTAAGACTTTGTTGCGTCATCGATTGTACCAACCATTTGGGAATGTGTCCAGACATCCGTTGTGCCAGGGGCCGATTCGTTCTGCCGAAGTAAGTGTCACCGCAACTGCAGGTGAATTGGTAGACGATATGTGAAGCAGAATTGTTCGGCTGGTTCTGTTTTCGATTGTCCAAACGAAGTCCTTGGGTATACGGTATCAATCGAAGTTGTGCGGCAGGAAACGTTGGACACAGTGCCGCCTTGAGCTTTTGATGCACGTCATTCATTATATGATCATTCTTAAAGGCGAGTATGAGGAAGACGCGTTCGCGTTCTCTACTGAAGATTTCCTTTTGTGTTTCCAGTTTCTTCTTCTCTTTTTGATTGCTTAGTGAATGCTTTTGACGATGCTGAGTACACTTATACCGGTATCGCCTGCGGGCACGTATTTCTTTCTGTTCCAGCTGAAAAAGTCTTAGGTATTCGCCTGCTTTCATCAGAAATAGTTTCAATTTGCGCTGACAAATGTTTTGGCATACCCCACGGTGTAACCACCCTCAGATATTTTATCGGTTTCCGGTCCAAAACAGACATTTTGATAAATAAAAGCAGAAAAGAATCACAGATAACGGTTGTTATTGTAAATATTGTTTATAACATTTCAACCCTTCTCCAGGTGGCTTCTTCTCACGTCACATGAAAAACCGATTTCCGGTTGATTGTTACGCGGTTATTTCAGATAGAATAGTCCAAGAGAGAAGCATAACACCATTTCAGTTTTTGAGGTAAATAGTCTGATTTCACGGGATAAGTTCAAAATGAACATAGTCTTTAAAGGATGAGCAGTAAAACAGATAGTAGCGCTTTCGTAAATGAATGGTAAGTTCATGCAAATAAAGGAAAAGCGGAATTAGATTGTCCAGAAAAATACCCATTTCGTGATTAGGAACAAATTGCACTGCTACTTAATTATCTCAAATTGCGATCTATAATCTTCGTCTATTTATGTGAACACTTTCAAACTATTTGTATTTGTATAGACTTTTGCGAGAACAGAATGTTCGCATTTCAGTCAAAAATTT